CATGTGGACAACCTCTGTACCTTCCTCTCCATTTTTTTGTGAACCTAAAACTGGTCCAAAAAAATAAAGTAAAAAAAATTAAAAATTACAACAGTAAAAAGACATACTGCAATTTAGGTGTTCTTAACCTAATTTAGCTCAGCAGCAGGAAGCAGAGGGCCTACAAAGTTATATGAATTGTCTAAGGCCCAAATTTATTTATGTACTAATCCAGAATCAGAATCCGCATTTCTTTAACTCCAAAATACATTACCTTTCCCCAAAGTCAGTTCCCATTCTGTGTTAATTCATCAGACTCAATAAGGCTTCTTTCCACAAGGAGCCATCTAATTGACAGCAAAAGCCTGTGTGAAGGATTACACGTATTATGTTTAAATGCAAGCAGTTCTTCAATTAAACACTAAGGTTGTGCATTTAAAGTAACTTAATTTTTCATGCTTTATTGCTGACACTGGTGAAGTGATGTATAATTTCCTCCAGGTATTAAAAGTAATTAATAATTGTAATTCTTTTTCCCTGAAGCAAAATTGAGATAACTTCAGTATTGATTTAGAAATTGGGAAACCAGGCACCGCAGTTGTGTAGTGGATGAACACAGGGGTAGCCTTTGGCAGACTGATGGAGGAGGAAAGTCCCACTGCCATTCTTCCCCCTGTTCTTTGTGAACTTAATAGTTAATGAAGCCCCTTTAATCCTCTGTCCAAAGTAGCAAAGGCCCACAAAAATAAATAAGTAGATAGATAGATAAATAGAAAAAACTTTTTATTCTGGACATATTCCTTACCTCAGTCTCACCACCAAAATCTGGGAGCATTTTCATAAATGCACAATCTTTGCAGGAGAAAATATAATTAAGAAAACATTAAAATTTATGAACATGCTACATATTTATATTCTTAGTAGGAAGATATTGAATACCTATCCCGAACGTAACCTCCATCATTGGTGAGCCCCACACATTCTTTTGAGCTTCCCTAACTGGGTTAGGTTTCACTCCTGTTGGTTTCCATGGTAAAACTCTATCTCAGCCTTATGTTGTGCTGTCAGTTTTATTTTATTGATTTGACTCTCTGTATCATCCAGGTGTCTGTGATTACATGCAGCCAACACTGACCCTTACCACATTAAATGAAGTGTCTTTACTGGTAGAACATCAGGAGCTTATAGTATCAGACTATAAATACTCAGTATCAGGAGAAGACAGAAGCAATAAGCCTGGGACTGGGTAGAAACAGAGGATGCTTCAGAAGACTGGAGTATGAACCATAAGAAGTGTCTTATTGTAGAAACAACTTGGACAAGACACCCTGCTGGAACTAATATACCTAACTATTGGTAGTCTCTTCTTAATCTAGTAAATATTAATTTCCAAGACTGGAGGTTCCAGTGACCTAACTTGGGTCTTGTGCCAATATCTTAGATGGGTCAGGGAACTGCATAAAACAGTCCTTGAGATATACCACACTATGAGAGAGAGGTAACCCTCCAGAATGAAATCAGGACCTATTAGGAAGGCAGAAGAAATGATGAATAGTTATGAGGAGTAAAGGGGAGCCCTTCGAGATCAAGAACTATTATAACCTTTGATCTCAGTTCCAAATACACTACTGTTACTGAGTGGATGCACAATAAATGTTGTTGACTCATATTGCTGGAAGTAACTCAAATTGCCACATTTTGGAAAGATTTCTCTAATCATAAATATGTCCATTCCTCTTGATTCAGTACTGATCTTTAATTCTTATCTTCTTTTTATCCTAAGAAATATATCTTAAATAAATGATGAAAAGAAAAAATAATTAAACAAAACTTATTGATTGCAAGATATGTGCTATCTTCAAAGGATGCAGTGATGAATAAGGCATGATATCTTTCCTTCAGGAGTTCTCAGCCTATGTGGAGAGTCAGACGGTTAAACCAATGACTTGTGTCCTAAGAGTTATCATGCCAGCTGGTACCAAGAATGTGTTCTTCCTAATATTATCTAAATAACCTAAAATTCAAAGCCACAAAAATCTTTAACCATAATATACGTTTCTGTAAGTTTATTCTATGAGATATTATTTAGACTTGTAAAGGATAGACAAGTCCTTAGATTTATCTGTAGATAAAGTATATTTGTCATATGCATAGAAACAGAGTAAAAATGACATAGGCACTATACTTGTGACTATGTCAAATATTCATGCATGTAGTTATGGATAAAGACTGGAAGGCAACATTGAGAAATAAAAATAGTTATTACTACAATAATAGCTGAGTTTTATGTTTCAATTTCCTTTAATGCTATTATATATTAAATGATATTTACCAGGGTATGTTGGTACTATTTACTCAGTGATTTGATTGTTCAACAGAAACAAAAGACGCTAAAATTTCTCCTTGCCTGTTAAGGTGATTTACTCTATTCTCCTTTCTCTTTTTTTTTTTTTTTGTGTGTGTGTGAGGAAGATCAGCCCTGAGCTAACATCCATGCTAATCCTCCTCTTTTTGCTGAAGAAGACTGGCTCTGAGCTAACATCTATTGCCAATCCTCTTCCTTTTTTTTCCCCCAAAGTCCCAGTAGATAGTTGTATGTCATAGCTGCACATCCTTCTAGTTGCTGTATGTGGGACGCGGCCTCAGCACGGCCGGAAAAGCGGTGCGTTGGTGTGCGCCCAGGATCCGAACCCGGGCCACCAGTAGAGAGGGAGCGCACTTAATCACTAAGCCACGGGGCCGGCCCTTCTCTATTCTTTATGTTTTTGCAGTTATGGTTCTTGCTGTGGGAGACTCTCTTTCACTATTACTGTTTATTTATTCACTCTGTTCTTTTTAACCTATTTCTTCAAACTATCTGTAATTTGTAGGTTATGGGAAGATAAGTGGTGGGTGTCCAGTAGATTTCAGCAGATTAAATGGCTGTTGTGATTCATGTTAATATATTTTTTAACACTGCTATCCAATAGGGCCCATCTATTTAAAAGTCCACGTGCTTTAAACTCCCTATTAACAATACAAAAATCACCTCCCTTTTCTCCAGATTTCTCTATTTTTTCAATGTTGTAGGTTCTAATCTTTGCTCTTAAAATATGATTACTGCCCAGTCTCTTTTCAATTGTCAGAATTCATGCTTCAGTGCAGCCTCTGTAACCATCTATTTGGTCATTTTTATTTCTCTTTTCTTGGTTTCTCCATCCAAATTCTCTTCTGTTCCATTTTTGCCTGTACACCGCTGCTATGTCACCCTGACAGGGCTTCTACCCATGTCATATGCCTGCGTTAAAATATCCAATGGACTCCCATTTGGCTAGTAAATTAAAGACAAACTTTGTCGCTCAATTTTGGGATCTCTTCCCTACTTTGTAGCATTTTTCTCATGATTACTCTCCTGCTTCTCTCTAAACCAACAGGCCAACAACTGACTCTTCTTGCTACATATCTTTCTTATACTGTTTCCTTCACCTGGAATGCCCTCCTTCAGTCTTGCCTTCATCATTCAGAGGCCCATTTTAACGATTACCCTTTCCATCATGGCTTTTCTTATTATCCCAAACGTATTTGACTTCAATTCTTTCAAAATATGCACAGCTCTGCTTGCATCCCTTTTATTAATTTGCTTTGCATTAGAGCTATTTATGTGAATAGGAATCAGATTGTGTAAACATTATGAAGACAAAAGCAATACCTTTCTCATCTTTATATCCATCAATGACTTCTAATACAGAGCACCGACTTCTTCAAAGTCATTTTGTTTTCCTCTTTAATTTTCTTTCTTATTCCTGGGGAAGATGCAGAGGGGAGATCAGAAGATAGGGGTCTTAAACAAGTAAGAACAGGAGAGAAAGAAGGTGTAAGAGAAGAGAAGACACTTAGTGCCTTCTGGATCACAACTAGGTTAACAAAGAGGAATTTTATTCACATTATTTGTTTATTTATTGTTAGAGATTATGCCCGGCATTTGGGTGACAATATAGGAACTATTTTAGTCAACTAAGGTGCTTTATTTTCTATTGTTTTTCTAATATGCTACTAGCTTTAAAATTTTTTATACATTTAATATTCTACTAGTTTTACTAGGTATCTTGGTTTTTATTTTTATAAAAGTATTATTTTTGTAAGAATGTTTCCCTGCTCAGGAATGTAATTGCCTGTGGAAAACCAGGTTAGTGCTGTAGAAAGCAGCACAGAGAAAACCTGAGCGGGTTTTTGCTTTCTGACCAGACCACGTCTTAGTCTTTGTCTTCCGGGGTTCCCAGTGGTCAGAATCCTCTTTTCTTCCTGCTTTGTGATCCACTGAAATCAAAGTCTCAGATCCAAGCAAGTCAACATTCACTGAGTTAAGCTTTTGTCTGTCCTACCCTCACAGATTGATGGGCATCACAGCAGATTCAAATCAGCTCTGCCCAAGGAACGCACATTTGAGTGGATAATCTTACACCAGCCTACGGGGATATTTACATCTATGAGCTACGGCATCCCCTTCCCTGGCCAGAACCTGGAAAACTGACCCCCATTTTTTTACTTTAGTGTTCCTAAAGAGATAAATTGTTAGAATAATTTCGGGTTTACAGAGGTGTACAGCAGCACTTCATTAGCTAGTGAAGCTTTGGACTGAATATAGTCCTGTATGTAAATTACAGTGAGATGCTACAAAACACTTTCTCATTGAAAAAATGAACTGTGCACTTACTATTTCTCAGATATACTAGAGGTTAAAACAAAGAGAAAAGATAGGATTCCTGCTTTTTGAGGAACCAAGATCCTTAAAATAAAAGCTTATTATGCAAGCAATATTTCCAGTGAGAAGATATCTCATTGGACATCACTAGCACAAAATTGAATATAAATTATTTTAATTTCAAAGTTAAGAATTTTTAAGGTACAATTTTTAAGATGTCCGATATATACAAATTTTCATTGTATTCTTTTTTTCGAGTGTGATGTTGCCATTGCATCATATTTTACAATAGTCATATGGATCTATTTATCTCTTTGTTTTTAATGTTCTCTCTCTCAAGCCTCAACAGAGCACTCCTGGAAGCCCTCAAGTTGAAATAACAAAGCAAGAAAATCTGAAAATCCCTGAGTGTGATCCTCAAAATGTAAGATTAACTTAAAATTGTTTTAACAGCATTCAACATGAAAACATGGACATAAGCATTTTAACAATCTTGGTTCATAACACCATGAAACTTTCTGTTTATATATAATATCTACTATCTAAACATTGTACTTTTAAATTTGAAAAAGCAGTTGTTCTCTGGATGTGAATCAGGTAGGTGTTCCACTAGGAAATGTACCCAGACTCTTGGGAATACTGTGAACTTGAGTTGTCAGAGAGTAAGGAGGTGGCCACATACTCGGCAATGTACTCACTCCCACAACCACGCGACGGAAAGCTATTAAAACATTAAAAACAAAAACAAACAAACCAAACCTCAAAGGATGCGATTTGATAGTACTGGCCCCATAAGCGAGCGAGGCCAGCATTATAGAGACATTACGTTGGAGGAAGAGAGATTCCTTACCTTCACTTGGTAATAGGAAATATGGAACTGTGCCTGTGGTTTTTTCACTCATAATAAGTGTAATGAAATTTTAATTCTGGAACTTTGGCACAATTACAGATCTCTTATGTCTGGATTTGAGAAGCAGCAAATGACAACAATTTTGTTGAGTAGATAAAGTTAGGCTTCAATCTAGTTGACGAAATGGAAAGTGGCTGCTAAAACTCTTTGTGATTGAAAAGAAATCAGGCTACGGCAAAGAAAATAAGACAGAATAGAAACATAAGTTAACCAAGTCAATCTCTTTTCCTTTATTGGCTGCCAAAGTAAGTTTAGAAATATGAATTTCTCAACAATTTTGCCTTCAAATCTTTGTATATTTAAATATGTACCAAAAGCATACAATTTAGAACATAATAAGGTTAATGAGAAGCAGAAATAAAATATTCTGCAACTTACTTCCAAGGGAGGAAGAAGTCAAGAAGGCTTTGGACAGGAAGGGATGTTTTTGCTGTAGTTTGAAGGACAGATAGGTCCCAGCACTTTCTGCACTTTATTCTCTGGTCATATTGCTCTGTGCTTTGTTGTCTCTGCACGTTTGCTTGCATTGTCAGAGACATATCTGTCCTTACTTACTTCGGAACAGAAGAGGTTCATACTCTTTTAATAACAAGAATGAACAAAAATGCATGTTGGAAATAATTATTTGTGAAAGATATGATGGTTTTTTCAAACAACTTTATTGAGATATAATTTGCATACTATAAAAATCACACATTTTAAGTCTATATTTCAATTATTCATTAAATTTACCGAGTTGTGCAACGATTACCACAGTCCAGTTTTAGAACACTTCCATCTCCCTAATAAGGTCCCACACGCTTTTTGTACAGTTAATCTCTGTTCCCAACCTCAGCCCAGACAGCCACTAACCTAGTTTCTATCTACATATATTTGTCTTTTCTGTAAATTTTGTATAAACTGATCATATGATATGTGGTATTTTTCATCTCGCTTCCTTCATATAGCATAATGATTTTAACCTTCATCCATGTTGTAGCATATATCACTAGTTTGTTCCTTTTTATTGCTGAATAGGATCCATTCTAGGGTTATATCACATTTTCTTTATCCACTCATCACATGATAACTTTTGGATTATTTCCACTTTTTGGTCGTTATGGATAATGATGCTAAGAACATTCACATAAACATCTTTGTGTGGACATGTTTTAATTTCTCTTGAGTAGATACTTATAAGTGAAATAGGATATGGTAAATTTTTCCATAAGTTTTTAAGAAACACACCATTTTCCAAAGTGGCTGCACCATCTTATATCCTAATCAGCAATGTATGAAAGTTCCAGTTTCTCCATATCTTTGTCACCACTTGTTATTGTCTGAATTTTTGCTTAAAAAGCAAATTCTAGTGAATGTGGAGTCAAATTTTGTTGCAGGTTTAATTTTAAATTCCCTAATGGTTAATAATATTGAGCATATATTTAAATACTTATTAGCAAATTCATATATCTCCTTTGGTGAAATGTCTATTTAAATATTTTCCCCATGTTTTAGTTGGTTTGTTTGTCTTACTATTGACTAGTAAGATTCCTTCTATATTCTGGATATAAATCCTTTACCAGATATATGATTTGAAAATATTTCTTTCAGTATGTTTCTTGTCTTTTCCTTTTCTTAATGGTGTCTTTTAAAATATACTTAATAGACTTTTTTTTTAGTTCCGTTTTAGATTTACAGAATAATTGAGCAATAGTACATAGAGTTCCATATAGCAACCTGCTCTCTTTCTGTAATTGATTTCTAGCTTAGTTCCCTTACAGTCTGATGGCATACTTTACATTTTTCCAGATGTGTTCTATGGCCCAGAATGCAGTCTATCTTGGTGAATAGTCCATGTGAGCTTGAGAAGGACGTGTATTTTCTTCTTGCTTGATGAAGTATTCTATAAATGTCAATCAGATCCAGTTGATTTATGGTGTTGTTCAGCTCAACTATATTCTTACAAATTTCCTGCCTGCTGGATCTGTCAATTATTGATAGTGTTGACGTCTCCATCTATAACAGAGGATTGGTCTATTTCTCCTTGCAGTTCTTTAAGTTTTTGTCTCGCGTATTTTGACGCTGTTGTTAGGTGCATATATGTTAAGAATTGTTATGTATTTTTGTAGAATTGACCCCTTTATTATTATATAAATACCCCTTTTTATCCCTGATATTTTCCTTGCTGTGAGGTTGGCTTTGCCTGAAAGTAATATGGCCACTCCAACTTTCTTTTAATTAATGTTAGCATGGTATATCCTTCTCTATCCCTTCACTTGTAATCAATCTGTGTCTTTATATTTAAAGTGGGTTTCTTATAGACAACATATAGTTGGGTTTTTTAAATCTTTTCTGACAATCTCTGTCTTCTATTGGTGTATTTGGACCCTTCACATTTAAAGTGACTATTGATATAGTTCGCTTAATGTCTGCCATATTTGCAACTGTTTTGGATTCATTGCATTTTTTCTTTCTTTTTTATGATCTCTTTTAATATTTTCTCTTGTTTTAATTGAAAATTTTATGATTCCAATACCTCTTGCCTCTTAGCATATCAATTATACTTCTTCTGTAAAAATTTTTAGTGGTTGCCTTAGAGTATGCAATATACATTTGAAACAATCCAAGTTCACTTTCAAGTAACACTACAGTCATGCATCTCTTAACAACAAGAATACCTTCTGAGAAACATGTCATTAGGCAATATTGTCATTATGCAAACATCATAGAGTGTACTTACACAAACATAGATGGTATAGCCTACTAAACACCTAGGATCTATGTACTAATCTTATGGGACCACCATCGTATATGCTGTCAATCATTGACAAAAGCATCGTTATGTGGAGCATGACTGTATACCATTCCAAGATGTGAAAGTGTCTTATATCAGAGTATTCCCAGTTATCCCCTCCTATTGCTTATAATATTGCTGTCATTCATTTCACTTAACCATAAGCTGTAATCACCAAATATGTTGTTGCTATTGCTATTTTGAACAAACTGTTATCTGTTCCATCAATTAAGAATAAGATACATAAAAACATTATTTTACCTTCACTCATTCCTTCTCCAGCACTCTTCCTCTCCTTTGGTAAGTCAGAGTTTCTTAACTATATAATTTCTATCTGTCTGAGGAACTTCTTTTAACATTTCTTGAAAGGCAAGTCTGCTGGTGACAAATTCTCTCAGTTTTTGTTTTCCTAAGGTCATTTTTTTCTTCACTGTGGAAGGATAATTTCACTGGATAAAATTTCTAGGTTTTCTTTTTTTTCAACTCTAAATATTTCACTCTATTCTTTTCTTGCTTAAATTCTTTCTGAATATAAGTCTGAAGTAATTCTTGTCCTTGTTTCTATACTATTCTCTCCTAACTATTCTCCCTCTCAATTCTTTCAAGATATCTCTGTGATTTTCTGCAATTTGAATACGACATGCCTAGATGTAATTTTGGGGGTATTTTCTGCTTGTTCTCTGATCTGCCTGGATTTGTGGTTGAATTCTGTCATTACCTTTGGAAAATTCTCATCATTATTATTTCAAATATTTCTTCTGTTACTTTCTTATCCTTCCAGTATGCCCATTAACTGTAAGTTGTAGCTTTTGTAATTGTCATACAATTCTTGGATATTCTATTCATTTATTCACTCTTTTATCCTTGCATCTCAGTTTGGTTGTCATACTGTGGCAGCTGCATGTTGCTGTGATGCTAAAAGCTGTTCCACCAGTATTTCAAATACCAACAGGGTCACCCGTAGTGGACAGGTTTTAGCAGATCTTCCAGACTAAGACAGGCTAGGAAGAAGGACCTGGCCACCCACTTCCAAAAAAGTTGGCCCTGAAAACCCTATGAATGGCATCAGATCATTGTCTGGTAGAGCACCAATTTTTTTCTTTCTTTACATGAGACATGAAGCTTGATGGGGCTGGAGTTGAGTAGTTTTCTTTCTCCCACATCAGATAAGGCTTTGGTGAAGTCTTTTTCCTTGCTGGGTAGGTGTTTGTTGTGGAGAATACTCTGAGCTTGGTAAATGGCTACTCTTTTCCTAAGCATATTTGAAAATGGTTATTTTCCCCTTCCCTCTTACTAAACACAAGGATGTTCTTCTGTTCTCTGATCTTCACCATTAAAACCTGGTAGGACTCCTGGAGGTAAAATCCACACGTGTGTGATCTCTTCCCACCTAGATTAGACCTCTAGGAGTTTTTATATTTTATGCTAGTCCACACTCTGCCTCCAGCAATTTGTTGAAGGTATTTTGTGTATGTGTGTGTATGTATATATATATATATATATATATATATATATATATATATGTTTTACATATTTTATATATATTTATATAAGTTTTATATATGTATACCTAATGGCTCCCTTGGCTTTTACTTCACATAAATTTGTCTGCATTCTGTGTATTTACCTCTCTCTCCAATATTTGGAGTGGTATTTTATCTGGTGACCTCAATTCTCTGATAGAGTGAAGGAAAGTGGTAACTTCCAGGCTGTTTACACGTCAGAGCAGGAACCAGAGGCT